CTTCCAATCCAATTGCAGAATCTACAGCAGGATGAGTTTTCATTTCGGTAGCACACCCTCCCACAAGTGCTTCAAACATCCAACCAAGAAGATGATGCCTAAACTGCACATCCTTTTGCCACTGAAATAGCAAAAGTAATATTGACGTATCGAAGTACTTATTGTTTGTGCAACGACTTTCGTCAAAACAACTCGAAAATCACTTGAACATTGCAATCTGGCAACGTCATGCGAAATGATGTTACATAAAATGCAGTGGTAGAAGGATTTGAAGGTATTACATGATACGACAGAAGATTCATGATTTGTTAACAAACCAGTCATGTACTGTTCAAAGATATGTAAGCTCTCTGGAAAACCATTTCCGGGTAAACTCCATATGGTTATATAGCTAGTCATCTACAACACTCCATACACAGCATTCCATTTTTCGTATGCACTACAATAGGACAACAATAATGAAAGATCGAAAAGTATGGTGATTCGATTATGCCACTATAAGCTTGAGATCCGTTACACACCGTCCAAAAATTCAGCGCAACGGACGAGGTAATCGTAGCTGACAAACCTCATTAAACCGTTAAAATACTCGTAAAAGTTATTACCTCACAAGTAGGCTACTAGAAGCAAATCAGCGGTGCGCTTATCTTGAGTAAATCAAAAGTCAAAAATTGAAATACGAAGTTAAAAAATTTATTAAATTATTTATTTTTCGAAAGTAGCATCAAAAAGCAAATTTACCGTTCACGTACGTCGTAATGGATGGCGCAATATCCAATGCCCAAGCGCTTACCCTCGTGAGCAGCGATACACTTGCAAATACTACGATATTACTACCACTGTTACGATACTACTCGGAACTATGTCAAAAGAAATCAGTTGTCACCTGACTGACCACTGAAACTGAACCCCACCTAAGCAGACACTGAGCTGATAGCTGACGACCGCCACAATGCCAACACTCTTAACGTTACGTCTTATCAGATTAGATCAAATCTGCTGTTTCAGTCAGTCATAAGGGATTAGGTGTTTTTAAAATATGGCATGTGCACTCTTGCGCCAATTATGAAGAATATGTATATGCATAATGGGTGATTGAAGATGACTATATTGCATCCAGTTCACTTACCGACATAGTGAGCTAACTGGATATACCGTAAAGTGTCCCATCGGGTGGGGTGAGGTCAGACACTGACCAGCCATCCCTAGGGTGTCCAACGGCTCACCAAGAGTCTCGATTCAGGACCTCGATGGGCTGGCTGCCGTAAGTGCAGCACAAAGGCTATGGTTCACGAAGGTTGGCACCACGAATGACATGCCTACGAAACTCGCCAAGATGCGTCACACAGGGAAGAATGC